GGTTGAGTCTCCATCCCTGGAGGGATTTAAAGAACGGATAGATGTGGTGCTCGAGGACATGGTATAGTGATGGACTTGGCAGTGTTAGGTTGATGGTTGGACTCGATGATCTTAAGGGTCTTTTCCAACCTTGATGATTCTATGATTCTATGTGTTTGAGAAGAGAAGTGATTGCTGCAGCAGAGGAAGGAATGGGGGAGAGCTGCTCCCCCTCCTGCACCAGGATGGGAGCCTGCGGTGCGGCACGGCTCCAGCCCAGTGCAGCAAGTGCCAGCAACGCAGCCGGCCTCTGCTTTCAGCTTCTCACCTGGGCTTATGGGCTCCTACAGTTTCCCTTTCCAAGCTGTTCTTGGAAGAACCAGTGACAGCAACAGAGAAAATTGTGCTCCTGAATGTGAGCAAAGGGCTTATTTTCACACCGCTAATTTTAGCACCTTCTCCTGGGTAAGGTCCATGCAACAGCCTCGCACACCTCAACCATCAGCAAATTTGCTCAGTAAATACTGGCCGTTTTTAGAGTGGAATAAAGCAATTAGCCTCCAAGAAAGGCAAGTCTTAAAGGCTCGTGAACTGATGAGTGAAGCTGAATTTTCGGCACACAAAGATCTCTCAGCTTTTGAGAAAGCTGCTGTGGTGAAGCAGTGAGTTTGTAAACCTGAGGCTGAATCTATTGCCACCTCTTGTTGTCTGTGTGTGAATAAGCATTTGGCTTTGGAAAACGTCTTCCCTGTTCTTCAGCAGTAAGTCTACCTCTGTGCTATTGAAACTAGTTAATGATAGAAGCAACAATGCTTGTATAATTAGCCCATTAATACCCTAAAGGAATCATCATGCTAATTACCCAACATGATGAGATTAGCAAGATGCTTTATAAGAATTCAGAATACTCAGATCAACAGTAAAATAACAGGTCCCCTTAGTTAGCACACCTACTCATTTTACCATCCTGACGTGGATTATTTTTGAAGAATTGGTATGCCTGGGGTACTTCCCCACTGTTAATTTATCCTGTGATTAATTGATGGCCTTTAAGACTTCTTGGTTTAAATTACTTGGTCTTGTCTCCCAGGATTAGGCTGCTGCTTCTTTCATTCTGGAAAAAGAGAATGGGGAAAAAAGAAGGGGAAAAAAAATCCTATGTAAAAAATTAGGGAGGCATTTGGTTTGGGGGTACTTTTATGTGATTTTATCACAATATTTGTTTTCTCTAGGATAATAAATCATAGCAGGACATGTAGCATAGCCATGGTAGCTACACTTGCGATCCACTGCCTTGTAGGAGAACGCGTTAATAACTCTGGCAGGCTGTGTACTAGGTGGAGATGGATGGCTTAAAATTCTTCACTGCATCCTCAAAAGGTGGCCTTTCCAAATAACACCAACCTGGCCTCTTGACAGGGGCACTTCCTCAGCGGCACGTCGCAGAGAGCTGATAGCATCACTCCTAGGTAACTGATGGTGACAAGCAGGAGTTTGAAGACAGACTTACAATGCTCTGAGTTGCCGTGTAATTTTTTTTTAGCGCAATTATTTGGAGAAATGATTGGGACAGTTGAAGGTTTGCTGTTGCCAAAAATATCCCCAGGTAATTTGAAGTGGTGAAGCATCTCTGCCCGTGAACAGGGTGTCAGAGCTGTTGGAAGGTGTAAGCGAGATGTAACCTTGTGCAGCTTTATTTGGGGACTGCACTGGCAGGTGGCACCCGAGTCACCCACAGCAAGATCCCATACCGGTGCAGTAGCTAGGATCCAGCCTTTGCAGAGTATGGAGATGGTAGAGATACTGAGTAGCACATTAAAATAATACTAATGAATCGTGGGATATATTATAATAGGAAATACACAGCCTTGACAAAGATGCGTGGCTAAAGGCGAGGTCGAGTGCTTAGTGCTCAGTGTCCTGTCTGCCTGGAAGGGCACGTGCTGCATCGGGTGGTGCTGCCGCCAAGGATCCCAGATGTAGCTTTGCTGCCAGCGCTGGTTTCCAGCAGCCGTGGAGAGCTGGTGCTGCTGGCAGGGCAGCGGCGGCAGTGCTCGGCTCCACGCCAGGCTCATGGCTCCATGCCAGGCTGCGCTCCCCCTTTGAACTTGCTCTTGCTGCACAAGCCTGGGTGGATTTGGAGCCCCTGTAGACATTTGTTCTTAAAAATCCCTCTCTTTCCTGAGGAGATTTTTTAATCCTTAATATTCTACTCAGCGCCTGTGGATATTCTGGCGTCAGCTTGCACAGACTTTTTGTTCAACTTTCTAATGAGCCAAGGCAGGGCTTCAATTTGCAGAACACAAAGTGCTTTTGCTCCTATCTGGCAGCAGCGTGCAGCCTTTCCCGGGATCAGGCCCATCATTAGAGTCCGCTGCTGTCTGCGATCTTTTGTGCCAGGAGACTGGGCTAAGCCAAAGGACAAGGTGTTGGGTTGATGCCTCTCCCTCGGTTGCTTTTCTGGACTTCAATAAGTAGCTGCAGCGATAATTATGGCAAATTGTTTCTGTATAAACATCCCGCTAACAGCCAGTATGTGTGTGATTCCTGTCTCTGAGTCGCGAAGGCTATCGATTAGCACTGGAACAGTGCATGAGCATTTGGAGGAGGACAGTTTGAGATGCTGCTTGTTCATTTATCCAGGTGTGGGCTGCTTGGCTGCTTTCATCATTTCACAACGCCCAGGCAGAGCTTTCGGCATTTATTTACGCAATGTAATTCTGCTTCAAGGCCAGGTTGGATGGGGCTTTGAGCAACCTGGTCTAGTGGAAGGTGTCCCTGCCCATGGCAGGGGCGGTTGGACCAGATGATCTTTAAGGTCCCTTCCAACCCAAACCATTCTATGATTCTATTTCACCTATTCTTGCTAAATACCATGATAACTGTGGATTTGTGTCCTGTTTATTTGAATTGTATTTCAATCTGTAGTACAGCTTATCTTATTCCTTCCAAACTCCTGATTCGGGGTCTCTAACGTTTTTGAGGTGCTGAGTTATATGCCAAAACCGCTGGCATCTGGCGAGCTGTGTGAGGGGGCATTTGCAGGGTGTTTGGCTTTCCAGAGGCAGAGGTCCGGGTGGACGAGCAATGCTTTTGCCTTGACCGGTCTCTGTTTCTGCTCTCCCCAGTGTACGGGCACAATGTGAAGAGCAGCAACGACTTCATTGGGAGGATCGTGATCGGGCAGTACTCGACGGGCGCCCCCGAGTCCAACCACTGGCGCCGGATGCTCAACGCGCACCGGACAGCCGTGGAGCAGTGGCACAGCCTGCGGTCCCGTGAGGACTGTGACCGCGTCTCTCCGGCGTCCCTGGAAGTAACATGAGGTGGGAGATTAACAGCAGCCAGACCAAGCAGGCGGACGAGGAAAAAAAAAAATAAACCACCGACCGAAACACCCCACCTCACACCCTACATGCACCCCACAGCAGCTCCGTTGGATTGAAGCGGCTGCCAGCACCCAACTGGCCGCGCTGGCCTCTCTGAACCATGTCCCACCAGGTCCTGGCCATTGCCCTGAGGCCACCAGCGGCCTGGCCGGCCGGACCTCTCGCTGCTCGCACCCAGCACTGCTCGGCTGTTTGCATCCCGTGCAGCGGAGCGCGTGGCTGGGCAGCGTGGGCTGTGCGTGGAGGTGCCGCGGGAAGCGCTTGAGCGGGTGGAAGAGTTGGGAGTTGCCTCCGCTGTCCTTCCAGTCCAAATCCATGGCTCATCCTCTCGGAGATATAAGTACCCGTGTGCTCTCGTTGGTGAACGTGGTAATTAGGCTAGAATATTTTTTTAAACGGTAGAACCTGTGGTGAAATCGATTCTGACTCCAGTTTTGTCCTTGTACTAGTTTTAACAGAATTAAGCTCCTGTTAGTACGTACGCGTGCATTTGTGTGCTGGGGCACACACGTGTGTGTGGGGCCCCTTGTCAAACGGATCCGATGTCACGTCAGCGGTGAGACCTGCCACTCTCGATAGCAGTCTGTGTGCGTCAAGTAGATACAGTGATGATATAGCAAAGTAAACATTTCCAATAGCATTTGTACCAGGAAAGCCAGCTCATGTCTTTTCAAACCTGTGTTATGCAAAAGAAACCTGCTGCAGGGACTTTTGCAGTTAAGACGACCCAAAATACACAATTTCAATTCTCTCACAGGCTGCAGTGGCTCTTTCTGTGTTGCGTGTGTTAACCGAGGTAGTTTTCCAGGTCACCAAGTGAACTTAGTTACAGCCAAGCTGTCCTGTTGGTTGCTTCTGTACATTTTATTTTTTCACAGCATATTGTCTGGTATGATGCAGATTGTATATTTATTGAAAATAAAATTCTATTTAATTGTGCCATGTAGACTGGGGTGATACTTGTTAGCAGAATTAATCTTTGTGTTGAGCTCCATCAGTTATGTTTATGGCACACGAAAAACCAAAATGTTGGCGTTTACCCCCTTATTACCCGCCGCAGATGAAGCAGGAGCAATTTGAGAGAAACTGGGGACCTGATGATTGAGATCGGTCAGGAGAGTGAGCCAAGCGCAGTGGTCGTGGCCATGCGTGGTTCGCAGACAGAGCACGCCCAATGTGCTGCGGGTCGGACATGTCAAAGTCTCTGCACTGGGCTCTGGGTCTCGGTTCTTTGCAGGAGCTGGCCCCAAATTATTATTTTTTATTGCTCTATTTATCAACATTGAGACTGCATAAAAATCTGTATCTTGCTTGCAGCCTGTTCAGGAAATCAAACAAGAAGGACATCACCCTGAAGAGAGCTGGCCCGTGACTTCATTGTCGTTCCACATCTTGGTTTTGGAGAAGGAAGAATCTATTCTGTCTTCAGCAGTGTTTATCTGTGTGGGGCCGGAAAGCCTCGGGGTGTTACGGATGGGTTGGCCCTGCCGCCACATCAGTGCTGCTGTGATCAAACAGGAGGTGGGGAAGGGCCCTGGGCTCTGGCTGTATCCTGCTCCCTAGGTCACCTGTGTAATCGCTGGGTGGTGGCCCATGGCCCCTGCAGTGGCCCAGGCCCATGGCCCACGCCCCCTCCATGCGCCCTGCAGTGCGGAGCCTTCCCGTGGCCGTCCCCAGGGTCCCATCGGCTGCTTGGGAGAGGTGCGAAGCAGCGCGCTTTCCGTCTGCCCTGGCTCAGTCCCTTTTTGCTATAAGTGAGAGAGTTGCCTTGAGCAAAATAAAGGTGGTGGTTGGGGCTGGGTACTGGGGGAAGCTTTGCCTTCGCTTGTGGCCCATCGACCTTTGAAACTGGAGGTGAGAGCGATGACAGTCCGGAGCTGGCACGCGGTGGGGCAGGCGGCAGTCATTTCCCTCCCCTCTGCTCATCAAATGCAGCCCGGAATGAACTGTTACCTCCTGTGTTGTAATATTTTGATTTTTAAAAAGAAAACAAGAGATATGTGCATATTTCATCTCTGTCTGTAGTTTGCCTGCTACAGTTAAGGACAGGTGAGCCTTAAAAAGCAAAAAAAACCCAATTTGTTTGGGCAGATGTCATTGAGTCAGTCAATAGTCCTTGCTGCAGTCCAGGGTGTTTGTGCTCCAGCGTGAAGGTGTGTTGTAACTCTGACAGCAGCATCCCCGCAGCACGCCTCCGGTTGGGGACCCGCTCTGGTTTACATTGAGTCGTGGGTGTTTCGTTCCCTTCTGCGCTCTGAGCATCCCTGTGTGCGCTCTTCGTGTGATGGCCGAGTCTGATACGGTGACCCTGCCATCGTGGAGGAGGGAATGCAATGAATGTAAGGAGGCTACAAGAGATGTCTCCATTCCGCATCAAGAAGCCATCTCTAAGTGGCTGTGGGAGAGGGACAGCGCGGACATCTTTCTCCTGGGCAGAGCACAGCGTGGCCTTGGGTAGAGGATGGCAAAAAAAGGCCTTGGTGACCTTGTTGCCGAACCATTGCCCAGTTGCTGTGGCTGGGGGTGAACACAAGTAGGAGCTTACCCGTGGTGTGATCATGCATGCTGTCCCCTGGTGAATACCCTTGCTTCCTACTGACTGCTGCAGATGGCTCCCTGCTGCTCTCCAGCCCAGCTGGCGTATGTTAGCAGCACAAAGCGATGGGGACAGTGGTTGCCACAGGGCTGTCCACAGGCATCCTCTTTCCGAGCATGTTGTGGATGGTGGGTTTCAGTTCTAACCTGCCTCTCTGCAAGGTGAAATTCTTCCTCTGTCCTGCAGTGAGGTCGATAGCAAATCTCTGTTCTCTGGCTTCCTCCTGGTTTGTCTCATCAATAAATCATGGTGGAGAGGGAGCCTGGGGGGAGTCCTGGGCAAACACGCGCTGTAGGAGGCCGATCTCATCCCGTAACTTGAAAAGGCTCAGACCAAGGGGCTATGGTTTCAGCAGTCGCTGCCATCAACATTAACATTCTTCCACGTTGGGTTTATGGGCAGCAGCATGAGCTCTGGGCATCCACTGAAGCTGAGCTGAGACCTGCCATGTGCTTTGCTAAAGCACTGGGGATGCAACGTTAACACAAGGCACTCACCCATGAGTCTGTCCTTGGAGCCTTGCAGTCTCTGTTTTGCAGGGAAGGGGGGGTGTTGTACATACACGGCCAAAAATTGGTGAGGAAACCCTGTGGAAAGGTCAATAAAAGCAGGATTCAAGCACACCAAGAAGCTCCCAACCTGGAGGGCAATGAGAAAACAGCGTGGGGAGGGAGGGGAGCAGAAGGGCTGAATAAATGAGATGTGTCTGTGCTCCCGGGGCTGCATCCAGCAGGTAAAACATGTCTCATGTTTTGTGATATCAGAAGGTAACCCAAAGTGCAGCTGCAGCTCCAGCCGACTCTGCATGCAGGACGCGTGTGTACTTCCCCGGTGCTGGGAGCAAAGCTGGTGCCCAGCTGCTGGGCCGGGCACGGAGCCGCCGGCTCGGGGTGCAGCTCGGGGGGCTCGGTGCTCCCGCCTGCGCGCGGGGCGGGGGGATGCTGCTGCGGTGGGTCTGCCCTTAGAAACAGGATTGAAGTTATTCCAGAGCTCTGCTCTCCCTTTAAGCATAAACATTTGTGCTTTGGGAGTAGATTAATATGCTCAAAGAGTTTTGTTCCATACTTCGCTGATAATTGCTTACAATACTGGCTTTATCTGGGGATGGTGCACAGTTAAGAAGGGAGAAGGCATGCCTTGGTTTGTAATACTCTTGAATTCCATCATTTTTAGTGGTCTGATATATCAATAGACTTTTCCTTGAGCCATATAGTTTCAGATCAATGTATGGAACTGCAAATGAAAGGGGGAGGGGAGTTTTCTTAGTAGGTTTTATTTAATGCAAAGAAAATTTAATATATGAAAGTTGATTGAATGAGTTACTGTCTCTGGATACTTAGCTATAGTGAAAGCTTTCTGTCACCCCAAATTGTTTCCACCTGGATCTTGCCTGTAAAAACAGGGGTCATCCCAACTGAAGTCCCAGAAAACGCTGAAAATTTTAATCTGTAGCTAAAAATAAAAAGGGAATAGCATTGGCTGTGTTCCTAAGCAGTTCCTTCAATGCTAATTTAAGGCGTAAATTCGAAATGGAGCAGGACCACAGAAATGTCATAGCATTTGTGCCTATACCGTTTCCCTTACCAGTGCAACGGCTAGGAAAGGACTTTATACAATATTTTTAAAAATCTGAAGTTTATTTCCAAAAAAAATTTGACCACAGAAGGGAGATGTGCTAGATAATCTTGACTGTTAATAATATTGACTGCTGCCTGGTGCTGGAGGTTTTCTGCAGTTCCAGGGCTGCGTGGACGCGGCAGGGACCCAGCAGCTGGGCATCGCCTGAGTTCTGAAACAGCCTTGGACCCCCTGGCCCAGCTGCGGCTTTCCCCTTCCAGGCTGTTTCAGCGTGTCCAAGCACGGCCTTTCCCCGGTTAAAAAAAGAAAAAAGCAAGGGAAAAATGGGGAAGTAAGGGGTTACCCCCCCCCCCCCGCTGCAGGCTGCGCAGAGGGAGCGCT